ACTACCTATTTCTGTTTAAGAGACTACCCTGTTTAGCACATGCTAAAAATACTAGCTTTATGTGGCAAGTGGCGAATGAGACATTTCTAATTATCCTTCCACTCAAAATAGGTTCATGCTACAACTGGATGGAAATTAGGATCCATAATATATTGTAGAATGCCACTTATGTACATTTTCACTAGCTAAATATAACTATCATAAGTGTACTGCATACATAGGAAAATAAAGTGCACTACTGAAAAATGTTTCACACTTAGACCTGATTCACTAAAAAGAAATACAGCATGTAGAATCTGGAAATGACAGATGAACAAGTCTGTCATTTCTGAAAAACCCGCTAAGCATGTGTTTAAAATTCAGTCCTATGTCCTTTAAATTTTAAGAGCTGGCACTTCTCAGTCTTTTCCAAAAATTTTTACTTCTAAATCGAAAAGAGGAAATTACCTTTTTTTTGTTCCAATCTCACCTCAGCTTGGCATGAACTGATTCAAAAAGGAAGTATCTCCCTTGCCCCTCTATCCAGCCTGAAATAAATGCTGCTGGAAAGAAAAGCTTCCCTGTGTAAACATGAATGAAAAGCACTGACATTTTAAAAACTGTAAATGCTAAAATTTGTTCCACTGGAACTTCTGAAAGTATTAGTTACCTAACACAGCAGATGAAATTGAGACATATTTATACAGCTTAAATCAACCTTGAAAGGTAAAAATATTTCCCAATTCCCTATATAATTTTAAATGTTGTCTCTTTCACATTCATAACCTCTAGCAAGTTTAGACAGCAACAAATACTGTCATTTTCAATTAGTGTTTTCCTTTTGATGGCTGCATTTTAAGGTATCTAAACTAAATACCTTCTTTTTTCCTTTTTGCTTTGTTTTTTTCTTCTTAAAGTCTCACAATTTCCTTCATCCCTCTTGACAGGTGGTGTAACTGCAACTTCTTCATTTTACTAAGGAGTCATCCATAGTGTCCAAAACAAGACATCAAGGCTGGATTATGCTGTAAACACTAAATTCATAGAATCACAGATTGGTTTAGATTGGAAGACATCTTAAAGCCCATCCAGTCCCACCCCTGCCATGGGCAGGGACACCCTCCACTAGCCCAGGCTGCACAAAGCCCCATC